CTGTGACCATAGTTTTTCCATCTTCAATTCCATTTTACAAATATACAGGTAATTCAAATTAGAACCCCACTATTGGGATGTCAGAAACCATAAGTGATACAGAAATGGTTAAACTTGCGTATCTTAGAGCTCATCTTGTTTCAACTAACTTTTTGGATCTAGCCGTTTTAGTTTTTAAAATATGGCCGAAAAATAAAAATGCGACTTTTTCGTTTTTTGCCTATAACTTCTTTATTTTTCGGTTTTTCGTGAATCTGAGAAGACATTCTTTAGGCGACTTTGAATGAAAAAATGTCAGGACACAACAAGAAATTTTCTCCGACGTTTCGTTTTCGTGAAAATATCATCAGGTTTATTTTTTCTTATGGACTCCATATTTGATTTTCACTCCAAAAAATAGGATAATTAATTCTGATTTCAATCATATGTCACACAATGTATTTCATTTAAAAAAACATTGAATTATTCAAAAAAGAAAAACGAATATCTTATTAGGAGGCTGTAACTTGTGCGCTAAATGTTTCCATTTAATTTCTAGTTGTGACATGACATTTTTCACAAAAAGTTGTCTTAAGAATGTTTTTTCAGATTCACGAAAAATAAAGAAGTTATAGGCAAAAAACGAAAAAGTCATTTTTTTGCTTTTCGGCCATATTTTAAAAACTAAAACGGCTAGATCCAAATACTTAGTTGTAAAATGATGAGCTCTAAGATACGCAACTTTGCCCCCATTTAACCATTTCTGTATCTCTTATGGTTCTGAGATCCCAATGATGGGGGGTCGAATTTGAATTACCCTGTATACTTATTATACCTAAAGCAATCTAAAAAACAGCTATTATTTTCAGTAGAACAACTCTATAAAGAACACTTTACGCTTTGAAAATTCAAGTTTTTGGAAGTTTCAGCCAGTAATTCTTGCGTCAGCGGTTTTAAATTACACAATAACAATTAAAAAACATATAACGATTTAAAATAACTCAAGCTTTGCTGATTCTAGGTGTGTTTTACGTTTAAACTAGGGAAAAAAAGGTTTTTCTGGTTACACGGCATTAATTTTGCAAAATCATATCTTTCTAAAAATACAGCAAAATGCAGACCTAAAAAGAAAAATAATAAATCAACAAATGAATAATCCAACTATTCGATCAGCAAACAAAAATACACTATTTGTATTATACATTATGTATTAAAAACTAAAAATCTGTGTCCCACCCATACAGAGATATATTTATATATACTATATATTTATATATACTATATATTTATAAATACTATATTTGTTCCCATATATTAATAAAATAAAATATTAAAATTCGGATGAAGCATTATACAGGGTTTCCCAAAGGTAACGGATAAATTCGTTAAAGCAACTAATAACAGTTTATGGAAAAATCGCTGAGACGGGTCTAAAAATTTACATTTTTTGCAATTTTTGGTATAGATTTCAAATTTTTTTCCGCCATTTTTAAATAAGTTATGACGTCATCGCTATTTTTTTCAAATAGCAATCCCACATTTTTATTATGGAATATGAAATAGGATTTTTTCTGAATTTGGTACCGCCAAAATTAATATTAGCTACATAACAAAATTTTCGAGAAATATTGTCTTAAAGTTTCATGATTTCCCATTCATTGGAGGTAGAAAAACAGTAGTAGCCATACGTAACCATAGCAACCAGTTATTTCAGATACTTTATTAAGGCCCACTTTTACCACCTCTTGATAAATTTAACCGATAGATAATGACCATGGTTATAGCGGTTTTAAGCGCTCTCATTGGCTAAGGCTCGTTACTACGATCTTCTGGTTAAGCTATCTAAGGGATTATTACCACGGTTACGGCTATTTTACGCGCTCTGATTGGCTAGTAGATGGGTTTATCTATAAGATAAATTTAACTAAACGATGGTAGTAATTTAGCTAAAAGCGCCAATTTATCTATCGGATAAATTTATCTAGAGGTGGTAAAAGTGGGCCTAAGACAATGATTAATTTTTGATATGTGAAACTGTTGGTTGCCATGGTTAGCTACTGCTATTTTGCTATCTCTCCAAGAACAACAACAAGATCAGTTCTGTTGTCTATACTGATTCCAGCCCAAACCATAACAGATCCCCGATCAAATCTATCCACTTCCTGTATAGTAGCGGCTGCGTAGTGTTCACCAGGACGTCTATATACAAGTACTCGACCGTCGCAACGATTTAAACGAAATCTGGACTCGTCTGTAAACAGTACAGGCGTCCAGTGACGAAGTTGCCAATCTCTGTGATCCAAAGCAAACCTCATTCGCGCTGCATTGTGATGCTGCGTAAGGCGTGGTGCGCGGACAGGTCTTGTAGGTATCAAAATCGCTTCTTTTAATCTGTTTCTAACAGTTTGATCAGAAATTTCTATTCCATGTGCTCGTCTTAGGTCATTTAAGAGGTCTCGTGCTGTGGCAGTAGGCGTACGTAGACAGGAAAGGACAAGTAATCGGTCTTGATTTTGAGTAGTTTTTCGATTTCGACCTTGTCCAGCTCTTCTAACATGTTGGCCAGTCTCCCGAAACCGATTCCATAAACGCTGAATAACAGAAGGGGAAACTCGAAGATCCCTGCTAACATGTCGAATAAAGTGGCCATGATGAATAAAGGCGACAGCACGAGCAACTTGCACTTCACTAAGATGCCTCATTACGCTTCTAATAAACGAAAATTGACAACTGAATTCATTTGTCAACTTTAGTAGGCTTTCATTCTTGAATTCAAAGTGTTATTAATTTAAGTGTAACTTAGAAGTAACTAAGAGTTGTAACATTGCTTTTGTAATTTTCTTTAGTTAAATATATGCCATTGAAGTAAACCAAATTTGACTAGTCTAGAACTATTATTTAAAAAGTTACAGATTTCGAAAAAGATGTTCCCCTATTTTTTTTGAGCAGTGTATATAAATATATCTCTGTGTGGGTGGTACACAGATATGTAGCTTTTAATACATAATGTATAATACAAATATTGTATTTTTGTTTGCTGATCGAATAGTCGGATTATTCATTTGTTGATTTATTATTTTTCTTGTTAGGTTGCTGTATTTTTAAGAAGATATGATTTTGCAAAATTAATGTCCGTGTAGCCAGAAAAATATTTCCTTCCTACTTTAAACGTAAAACACATCTAGAACAATTTGAATCAGCAAAGTTTGAGTTATTTTAGATTGTTCTATGTGTATTAATTCTTATTGTGTAATTTAAAACCGCTGACGCAAGAATTACGCAAGAATTTGCAAAGAGTAAAGTGTCCTTTATAGAGTTGTTCTAGTGAAAATAATAGCTATTCCAGATTGCTTTAGGTACAATAAGTATATATTTGAAATATGGAATTGAAAATAGAAAAACTATGGTCACAGCAATTAACTAGACATTTTGGCAGCCAAACGTATTTTTAGTTATAACTTCGTAATGATGTATCCGATAATTTTGATTTTCTAGAACAATAACTAGAACAACCCGGTTTTTCGGTTTTTCTCGCCGAGTTTTTATTTTTTCTATTTGCCGCTTTGGAACAATGTAGTACAAGTGTAGAACAATCTAGATCTACAAGAAAAATTTAAAATTCAAAAAATTGGGTGCTAACTTCCCGCACTCCCCAGATGAAGACCCTAATAGCAACGACGGGATACACGTTAATTGACAAGCAAAGAAAGCTTCAAGAGAAAAGTACAAAACAGATGACGTGGTAAGGTGGATAAGGAGAAGAAGAGAATGGAACCAGTACGTGAACCGAATGGGTCCCGACAGAATAGCCAAAATTGTGCGAATAACACACCACACGGAAGAACACCTATAGGACGACCACCTAAGCGATGGGCTCAACATCACAAAAAGTGCTGAGAAAGCGGGGAAACCGCAAGGAAATCAAAAATAAACAGGCGATACGTACAGACGTATCGCCTGTTTATTTTAACGTTTTAATAAACAGTTATTAGAAAGTTATTAGAAAGAGCAAGAAGAAGAAGAAGAAAATAAATTTGCACAAAAATGAATTAGCTGTCAACTGTCTTTGAATTGAAGAAGAATGCAGACATTTGTCGAAACTCGCCATAAAGTATCTTATTTTAATTAACAATATTGTTAATCTGATTTAATAAAATACTTACACATACAATGCTGTAAAACAAACAAGATTTTATTAAATGTATCATTATTAATGATAATATTCATTACAACATTTATGTATGAATACAAGCCGCGTTGTGAATGCAAATTCAAAAATTTAAAGAAAGATTAACCATTATAATATATTATAATAATTGTATCCATTAATTTCATATTAATTTATATATATTTTAATCGAATTTTCCTGTATTTGAAATATATCAGATTTATTTCAAAGTGACCTAGAAAAGCTTTACTACAAAACATTAAGTGTCTAAAACGACGTAATTAATCATTTAAGGTAAACGTTCATTTAAAAGTTTAAATTCTACAATTGAGATTTATTATAAGCCGTTGTATCAACAATAAATACGTATTTAAAGCTGTAAATTGGGTTTAAGTTTATCGCCGGGATTCTAAATGACCCGATTATGAATCAAATTTATATTTTTTTTTAAACTTCCCTTGTTTTGAAACAAAAGCTCGTGTTAGTCAGGTTTCTCCGATTTAGTTCCGCGTAAAGTTCGGCACTTAATGCTCTACCCAACGCGGCTTCGAGTTAACTCCTATAAAACTTTACAAACACCAATGCTCGGGAATTTACCTCGTATCCCGAAAAACTAGTTAAAACTTCCCAGTCGCTCTCCCCTGGTGCCGAGCAAACAATAAAAATCGAGTTTGATAAGCTTACTTGACGTAGTTATTTCTATTATAGCTACCGTGATTGAAATTTAAATTATTTTTTCGTGTAACTGAATAAAAATTTCTTTCAAAGAGCCACTTAATAGTTTTAGTCTATTTCAAGTTGATGTTTAAAAGGGTTATTTTAACAATTATTTAAAAAATGCAAAATAACTTACTCTTCCACTATTATCTGTACCATTGATGTCTGCATCCGCAATACCGACCAAAGCAGCCCTTCTAAGTATGTCCCTGAGAAGCCCCTCTTCGCCATCCCTGGCAGCTCGGAGCAGAAGCTGTCCTCCGGGATTTGGGGCCACGGGGGCCGCCGTGTTTGCAGTGGGTGACAGGGTGCCACGAACGTAACGTCCCGTGGGATGTATGCGAGTCCTAACAGCAGGAGATGCGGTTACCGAAACGGGAACACAAGTCGCTAAAATCTCTTCGTCGTCGTCTTCGTAATCGGTCTCCAAAGATGCCAAACAACAAGAACCGTTCCCTTTAGGCTCTTTCCTTACTTCTTTAACTTCGCGCCTAGTGTTGTATGTTGAGCGCTCCGATTGGATCGAATTCAAACGTACGCCTCGCGCTTCAGCCGAACGCGAACTGGCGCCTGAACGATATTTCAGCTGCTGATCTCCCGCCGCGACGCGTTTTAGAGACTCCGAAAACGTGTTCGAGCGGGTTTTGTTGGCGCCCTCCGCCGGCGGAAGTGTAAAACGGACTCGACGGTGCTGAAAATGTAAAAATAAAGGGTTCTGTTGTAGTTTCAGCAGTTACAGGTGTTTCAGTTATTCTTATTTCTTATTTCAGACGGATTTAAATCTAAGTCAAATTTAATCGCAGGAATTTGAAACTACTTTATGTAAACTTAGCAATCGTAAAAATTTTAACGTAATTATAGTATAAACATTTCTTTTTCGCGGTTGTATTCGGAGAAAGTTCAAGGTAAATTTTGAATAAATGTTTATAAGAGCGTTTATTTATAACTTCATCAACAGATATTAAGAAGTTTTTGGTGTAGATTTGCGATGAGTCTATTAAAAAAAATTATTTGCTGAAAAATTTAAAAATCTAACATTAATCTGTTACCAACAACATTTTCTTAGAATATCTATTTTTTTATTTTGTGAATAATGTCCCGTTGAAACAAAAAGATTTAACTTCTCAAATTATTCTCTTGAATCCAGGATAATATGGAACTCCACGTGAACTTGTTTACCCGTTTCAGTTGCGTTAAAGCAAATATTTTTATAGTATGTTGTGAGATGATGGTTTACGAGCACAAAACCTTTCCAATCAAATCGATCTTAAGGTATTTCGTATTTCTCTTTAGAGACACAATTTACTTTTTTTTAGTATAAGTACTGTTTGACTTATCTTCTCAATCAATCTTAATTTATGTTAATTTACAAGGAATAACTAACGATGAAAATCAACGACACATCGAAAAATTTATGTTCTCTATTATCATTTCCGTGCTAACGAACGAAGCTGGCGAAATTGTTAATGTAAGCAAATACCAATTCGTGAGCAACGCGTACATACTTTGTTAAATAGTGTGAGTTTATGTACGTGCTATTGCAGGAAACGATGCTTACACAGCCCCGGCGTAAATACCAAACATCCTAACAACTCAATCTATATTTAATCGATGGATGAATGCGATGATGCATTCTGAAAATATTTGTAATAATAATTATAGCTCGTATTAACTTAATACCCCAACCAAACAAAAATATTCTAATTATAACATATTTACTTACGTTTTTGTTAACACCAAACTTATCAACTTCTTGACATTCATTTTTTAAGGATATCTTCTTTGTTGTTCTTGGAAAAGTTTCAGAATTGACAACTTTATTTGATAATCGAAGAGGTCCTGATACGGGACTTTTAGATCCTAAAGAACCATATCTTAAAGAAGGAAGTTCCGCTATTCGCCGATTAATAAATCTTGATGGATTTGGAACCACAGCCTAAAAATCAAGTTAAAAGATTAGATATGAGGCTTAAGTGATTTTGAACAACAATATCTCATTCGAAAGCTTAATCCTTGGCCAATACGAAATTATTGTCCGATTAATTATTGCAAAAACTCCAAAATATTGCAAAAGCACACTAAAATGATCTTTTTTAGGTGGTCATAACTCGTAAACGATGTACTTGATTGTGAAGATCTATACGTCATTCGATTTCCCATAGTTTGTTCTATCGAAATAATAATGCGCGATCTCAATTTTTTCCTTGTATAGTCCTTAGAACAAAACCGCGTTTGGAACATGCAAATCTTGTACTTAAAAATATTGCTCTTTTATACTTTTACTCTCTCAAATGCATGAATATCGAGAAAAATTCGAATATGTGAAAACTAGATGAAATTGTGGTTTCACATCTTGTTATTGGTAGAGCATGGGATTCGGAACGTTTTAGAAAAAAAGTTTTATTATAAAAGTTATAGCAAACTTTATTTTTAACAATATTGCTTCTTTACACTTTTGCTCACGGGATTTGGAACGTTTTAGAAAAAAAGTTTTAGTTGAAAGTTGTAGCAACTTTGCACTTTTGTTCTCAAATACATAAATATCGAGAAAAATTTAAAAAGGTGAGAATTAGATGAAGTCGTGGTTTTACATTTATGTTGTTGGTAGAGCACAGGATTCAGGACGTTTTAGAAAAAAAGTTTTAGTATAAAAGTTGTAGAAAACTTTATTTTTAAGAATATTGCTACTTTACACTTTTGCTCTCAGATGCATAAATATTGAGAAAAATTTAGAAAGGTTGAAGTTACATGAAATCGTGATTTTACATCTTGTAGTTGGTAGAGTACAGGAGTCGCAACGTTTTAAAAAAATAGTTTTAGTATAAAAGTTGTANAAATAACACTAAAATGATCTTTTTTAGGTGGTCATAACTCGTAAACGATGTACTTGATTGTGAAGATCTATACGTCATTCGATTTCCCATAGTTTCTTCTATCGAAATATAATGCGCGATTTCAATTTTTTCCCGTTAACCTTGTACAGTCCTTAGAACAAAACCGCGTTTTGGAACATGCAAATCTTGTACTTAAAAATATTGCTCTTTTATACTTTCACTCTCTCAAATGCATGAATATCGAGAAAAATTCGAATATGTGAAAACTAGATGAAATCGGGGTTTTACATCTTGTTATTGGTAGAGCATGGGATCCGGAACGTTTTAAAAAAAAAGTTTTATCATAAAAGTTGTAGCAAACTTTATTTTTAACAATATTGCTTCTTTACACTTTTGCTCACGGGATTCGGAACGTTTTAGAAAAAAAGTTTTAGTTAAAAGTTGTAGCAACTTTGCACTTTTGCTCTCAGATACGTAAATATCGAGAAAAATTTAAAAAGGTGAGAATTAGATGAAATCGTGGTTTTACATCTTGTTGTTGGTAGAGCACAGGATTCAGGGCGTTTTAGAAAAAAAGTTTTAGTATAAAAGTTGTAGAAAACTTTATTCTTTCCAATATTGCTACTTTGTACTTTTGCTCTTAGATGCTTAAATATCGAGAAAAATTTTAAAAGGTGAGTATTAGATGAAATCGTGGTTTTACATCTTGTAGTTGGTAGAGTACTGGAGTCGGAACGTTTTAGAAAAAAGTTGTAGCAAACTTTATTCTTTTCATTATTGCTACTTTACACTTTTGCTCTCAGATGCATAAATATCGAGAAAAATTTTAAAAGGTGAGAATTAGATGAAATCCTGGTTTTACATCTTGTTGTTGGTAGAGCACAGGATTCAGAACGTTTCAGAAAAAAAGTTTTTGTATAAAAGTTGTAGTAAACTTTATTCTTAACAATATTGCTACTTTACACTTTTGCTCTCAGATGCATAAATATTGAGAAAAATTTAGAAAGGTTGAAGTTACATGAAATCGTGATTTTACATCTTGTAGTTGGTAGAGTACAGGAGTCGCAACGTTTTAAAAAAATAGTTTTAGTATAAAAGTTGTAGCAAACTTCATTCTTTCCAATATTGCTACTTTGCACTTTTGCTCTTAGATGCATAAATATCGAGAAAAATTTTAAAAGATGAGTATTAGATGAAATCGTGTTTTTACATCTTATTGTTGGTAGAGAACAGGATTCAGAACGTTTTAGAAAAAAAGTTTTAGTATAAAAATTGTAGCAAACTTTATTCCTAACAATATTGTTACTGTGCACTTTTGCTGTCAGATGCACAAATATCGAAAAAAATTTAGAAAGATTAAAATTACATGAAATCGTGATTTTACATCTTGTAGTTGGTAGAGTACAAGAGTAGGAACGTTTTAAAAAACAGTTTTAGTATAAAAGTTGTAGCAAACTTCATTTTTTCCAATATTGCTACTTTGCACTTTTGGTTTTAGATGCATAAATATTGAGAAAAGTTTAGAAAGGTTGAAATTACATGAAATCGTGATTTTACATCTTGTAGTTGGTAGAGTACTGGAGTCGGGACATTTTAGAAAAAAAGTTTTTGTATAAAAGTTGTAGTAAACTTTATTCTTAACAATATTGCTACTTTACACTTTTGCTCTCAGATGCATAAATATTGAGAAAAATGTAGAAAAGTTGAAGTTACATGAAATCGTTGTTTTACATCTTGTACTTGGTAGAGTACTGGAATCGGAACATTTTAGAAAAAAAGTTGTAGCAAACTTCATTCTTTCCAATATTGCTACTTTGCACTTTTGCTCTTAGATGCATAAATATCGACAAAAATTTTAAAAGATGAGTATTAGATGAAATCGTGTTTTTACATCTTATTGTTGGTAGAGAACAGGATTCAGAACGTTTTAGAAAAAAAGTTTTAGTATAAAAATTGTAGCAAACTTTATTC